TTCATTACTGCCAATTTCTGATGCATGGTATTAATTTGGTTACAGTATGATTCAGCATTGATGGTTTCGCCAGGATTTAAGAAGCTGTAGTGTATTAAACCAAATGAAGCCCACCATACCGTAACCATTACCTTTTTTTGATGAGTTGGGGGCTTTGGAGCTTCTCCTTTGTCGAGCCACTGTCCAGAACGTCTAGTGTTATCGTAGAGAAACCACTTTTCGTCACATGTAACAATTCTGGCCAGAAATGGGTCATTTTTGTTTCGACAAAGAAGTGATGCACAAACATCAAAGCGCTGATTTTTTGGCGATCGTTTAATGAGTGTGGAACCCAATTTTCGAGTTTTCTCACTTTTCCAATCGCCTTGAGGTGGTCAGCGACGGTCGTTTTACTGACTTTGAGTTGCTCTGCAAGTTCTCGAACAGTTGTTTTGGGGTTTTCTTCCACCACTGATCGCAGAACATCATCATTAAGAGAGGAAGGCCTTCCACGACCTTCTTCATCTTCAAGGCTGAAATCTCCCTCCCGAAATTTTTTAAACCACCTTTGCACAGTGCACTCATTAACACAACCCTCGCCCCAGACTTGGTTAATGTTTCTAGCCGTTTGGGCTCCGCTTCGGCCGAGTTTAAACTCGTAAAAGAAAATCGTACGAAATTCTCGCTTTGACATTATAAGGATGACTGAATTATTTCCAAGTAGCGGAATGCTACAGAGGTAAACAAACAATATCATTTGGAAGAGGATTAATAAGTGTTGACATTCATACAAATGAGTAATCCTGTAAACGTAAACAGAATATTTTATATAGATTTTTTTTAATGAAAACTTAAAATCCTGCATTATTTTCCGGACAACCCGATATTTATCTGTCAGTTTATCTATCTATCTCTCGTTTTCTCTCTCCTCTCTTTTTCTTTTTTCACTCTCCCCTCTTTCCTCTCACTTATTCTGTGTCCTTTTTTTAAGCATCTCTTTCCTTCACTCTCTCTCTCTCTCTCTCTTTTTTCTTATCTTTTAAAATCTAGCATATGATCAATATTGTTATCTATTCAACTATCTAACTGTCCCTATCTCTTCGATCTATAATGATACAAAGTTTCCATTAGAATTGGGTTTGATTTAAAATTTTTATTTAATAGTAATTTAAATACAAACAAAACAATTTTGTCGTCTGGTCGATAAAGTATACGCAACATTCGTGTGGCAACATCATTTGCCAAAGAAAGAAAAGATTTTAATCAGTCAGTTATCCCCTAGCATATATGACATCAATGAAGAAGTTGTCAGAACTCTTTATTGAGAAACCTCGGTAAACCATTTGCAAAACTAAGAACAACTTCGAATTTGCAAGTTTTATTTAAGAGGATTTAGCTTACAGGAAATAGCGAAAATTGGGATTGACGAAGAAATGTTTAACTAGCAGGGAATCTATTTACTAGCTATTCTAAGAAATTTAACAAAATGTGTGATAATTCCTTTTTAGGTTGTTGTGATGATGATGCTAGAATTGGGTGGTTTCCAGTCATTTGACCTACCTACCCTCGCTTTTTGGCCTTTCAGTTACGAGATATCGCCATCTTCAGTGTATGTCTGCATGTTGTCTCTCGTAACCATCCCTATTCTGGAACTTGATGAAGTTTAGGGGTTTCGTCTTCTACAGATGCTTCGGACAAACCAAACTTGGTCTGTGTTGCCGAGACTTGGCTGACGAACAACGACCATCCAAGGAATGGAAATGCATTTCTGAAGTGTGAACAAAATCTTTGGGAAATCATAGTTACAATTTTACTTAAAAAAGCAATGCCTACAATGGAAATATAATCAAGGAAGAAGAAAATCGTATGGTTATGGTAAACCATTCAATTAAAAAAAAATGCATATTGCTATCAGGAGGAAAACAAGATAGATCATTTAAATTACTCGTTTTCAGATAAATTTAACAATGAACATATGCATTATACACAAAAAAATACATACAATCTAACATCGAGTTATAAACTTCTATCTTGACAATAACGAAATCGACTGGAAACATTCTAAGAGAATTGAGGACAATAAATCTCGTAACTATTTGTAATGAAATTAAGAGATCAGATAGAACTGCTGTTGATTAGATTGGAAATCCTGCTCCGTTTTCCCGGATAATTTATGGCATGCAAGCATTGTGCTAAGCGTAGTAGCAGAGGTTACTGATGTCGGAGACGAACAATAATTAATGACTCAGAATCTGTATTTACTCTTGTGTTTTAAAAGGCCACTTTGATATATAAGCGGCTTTTTTAGAGAGGTGAGAAAAGAAATATTGCCTTAAAACTGTGATGGAACAAAAGATAAAACAAAAATCACCAAACTGTTTTATTTAATCCATGATGTAGTATGTATTCTTGCTTAAAATTACATACTAAAAATAGGTCCTTAATCTAGTATGGATTAAGCAGAAAGAGGTTTATTTATTCATTTTATACACACTGATGGACAAAATAAATGCACCACCCTTAAATTTTAATGTATTTAGGTGTATTCATATTTTGTATACCAAAAATAGGTTTGGTAATAAAAAAAGACATTTTAAAAGAAAATGTTTATTATCTAATTCTAAAAATAATTATTATTTGGGTAATTATTGTTGGGTAAAGAACAATAAAATAGAAAATATAAAAACAAATTTGTAATGTAAAAACTTGTTTGTCCCCTTTAATATCGAGCATTTCCACCACTGGCGCGAATCATGTCCATTAAACGCCCTTGCACTCATTGGAAACGATTTCTGATAAAATCCTCAAGAATTCTTTCATATTCCTCAAGAACAGTCGTTTCCAACTCTTCTAGGGTGTTAGTACCTGGATATCGCCGTCGTACTTTTCTCTTAAGTTGGTCCCAAATGTGTTCGATTGTGTTCAAATCTAGATTTCAAGTTGGTCACACCAAGCATTCAATTCCAACCTCATTCAGATATTCATCCACAATACGTCCTCTATGGCGCCTGGCATTATCCTGGCATTAGCAATGGGGCAAATGGCACTACATGTTCTTCGATTATGTCTTGTAAGTATATATAGGTATAATTATATATATGTATACTAGGTCGACCCTTTCCTGACCTTCTAGTGTGGTGCCTTGTTTCTCTGAAGCGCCCAAATACCCTTCCTGTTGTAGAATGATATACTCAGTTTCCTGGCGACTTCGCGCTGGCTGTATCCTCTAACCATGTATATTCATAGTCCCCCATTACCCGAACACTGTCATACTCATTCAAATGCCTGACTAGAGCCATTAAATATAAATATAAAAAAAGGTATAAGAATAAAAATAATTTTCTTTTAGGTTTTTAGTTGAGATAAAAAGTCAGTGTCACTAGTGGGATTCGAACCCACGATCTTCGGCTAAATACGCCTCTGCTCTCCAACTTGACCTATCGTGACCTCGATCCACTCGGACGCTAACTTCCCAAGGTTGAGGTGGGAAGTTAGTGTTCAAGTGGATCGAGGTCACGATAGCTCAAGTGGTAGAGCAGCGGCGTATCTAGCCAAAGATCGTGGGTTCGAATCCCGATCGTGAAACTGACTTTTTTATCTCAACTAAAAACCTTAATTAATTGAAAGATTTTAATTGGTCAAGCGGACCACGAAATCTAGTGAATTTAATAAAAATAATTGTTCTATGCGATCGACCAACCTTTACTCTATAATAGTCTCTAGATTAAGGTTGTGGTCAAAGATGATATAAGAATATCAACTGAAATCAATGAAGGAAAAAGATTAACATGTAGAAGAATGGAAGGGCTAATGCTACTAATTTTTCTTAAAGTGTTACAAAGGTAAATAAAGGACGTAAACAAAGCATTATTTACAGTTTATTTTGACTCTTAATTACCTGTAACTAATGTAGAAAAATAATGAATTTAATTTTAAACTAAATAAATTGAGATTCGTTCAATTTGTCCATTAGTGTATTTTGTTATTAAAAAAGAAAGATTAATCGTTATTAGTCCAATAATTTATTTCCTCCAAGTATATGAGTAATTTTAAAGGAATGTTAAAGAAACATTGATACCTAAGCCGGCTTTTGTCCTTCAGATTCAGCAGCTTTCATAGCATTATAACAGCTTTTATAAAGTAAAAATGCCGCGTTTTTGTTTATATTAGTTTCTACAACGCTAAGATAACGATTTATTTCCTAAAAAAATTTATGACAGGAGGTAAAAAGCTGATTATTTTCAAAGGGTTTAGTTAAAACGAACAGCCTATGATTTAACGACACATTTAAAAAATTTATTACTGTTATTGTAACAAGAAAACAAGTCTAAACGTTAGCGTAGTTAATTTGCATTCCTGTTGGCAAGTAGTTGACGAAATTGTGCCATTTCAATAAAATTTAGAAAAGTGATTACGAATATCTGCCAGCAATTAGTAGTTCGTGATTAAACTGGGCAGTATATTTTTGCTGGTTTAGCCAGAAGTGAGTCATTAACAGTGGAAATAAAAATCACACTAATTAAGGGTTATAAAGGTTTGTAAGTTATGTATGGTTTTAATGAATAACAAATACTTATAGATGGTCTGTCCCTCCTCTATGTACATGTTTGCTAAAAATAGCATGGATAACCGAAACATCAAGTAAACAGCTGGATTATCAAGGTTATTGTATAAACACAAATCATAACCCTCACATTTTGGTGGAAATAGAGGGATCAGTATATATAAATTTTACAAGGCGGTATTTTTGTTGAATTACAACAAAGAACCCATCTATGTTGGTGGGATAACAAACTGGTTGTTTTTGTTAATTTAGTGGCAGCAGTGAGATCATAAAATGTAAGTAGTACGATTTATTGACAGAAATGGGCTAAAAGAATAACTTGTATAATTGGGTAGCTGCTATAATGTCAAATGATTGCTACAATCTATAACAAATCATAAGCAATATTAACAATTGTTATTGTTAATTTAATGATAGTAATGAAATCATAAAAGGTAACATTTACAATTTAGTGGCAACCATTATCTAAAAGAGCAATGCTAACAATTTAGTGACACCAGCTAGATAAAAGAATATATATATTTTTTTTTACACACTTTTAAATCCCACTTAATATCTCTACGTAACAATAGCCAACCGTACAACTACATTTGATGGCAACAGTGGGATCAGTAAATATAAATTTTACAATTTGGTTGATGCTGTGGGATCAAACGACAGAAACCTTGTCTTTGAAGGCAGCAGATTAGCACAAAAGACACAAAAGAATATCTACATTTTCGTCGTCCAACTCTTTGATAATGAGACAGAAACAGGCAGAAACAGTTTGGTGGCAGCAGTGCAATCACAAGGTAGCAATCTCTCTATGAACAAAAGGATCACCATAAAGAACCCATCCTTATTAGTAAGAATAGTGGAATGGCAAACAAATATTTTGTTAATTTAGTGGTACCAACAAGATTACAAAATGTAACCTTGATATTTAAGATCAGGAGGATAAGGAATTCTCTTACAATTCATGACAGTGATGCGATCATAAATCACAAGTACAACAACGATGAGATCACAAACTGCAACTGACAATTTTTTGCTTGCAAGGCAATAGTCATATGTAATCCCATACAGTTCATTTTCAGCAGAAAGATAAAAAAAAATTATTTTTCAATAATGTCAACTAAGGGAATAAAACGTAACCCATACAATTTGTGCACTCTGATCATTATATAAAGGGGGATCACTTTTTAGAGGAACAGAGGAACCACTAACAATTTTTTGATTATTTTAATAACAACACTGAAATCACAGAATGTTGTGTTTACAACTTAGAAGGAGTGTTGGAACAAATGATTAATTACAACTATTTGGTGGCCTCGGGAAGTCATAAAAAGTAAGATTGACAATAGATGACAGTGGATGGATAACAAACCATAACTCATGTATTTGGGTTAGAACCGTACAATTTTTTTCTAGCAGTGCAATCATCAAATGTAACCTCATATAACTAGTAGCATCAGTGAGATAAAAAAAATATCTCTACAGTGTGTCGCAGTGATGTGAATAGAAATGAATAATAAAACACAAACCATAATTCTTCAAAGTTTAATTCTTTAGTAGCAGTACGATCATAAAAATAATCTCTACAATTAGTGTCTGTGGTAGGATCTGAACCATAATCCCTGCAATTTTTTGCTAGCAGTCAGATCATCAAATGTAACCCCATAAATTGAGATAAGAACATTTTGTAAGAACAGAGGTATCACAAACTTTTTTTTTGTTAACTTATTGGCAGCTGCAATATAAAAAATGTAACCTTTCCTAAGTGGCAGCGATAGAATAAGAGTCAATTCTTAAAGATTGTTACACCTCTTCCTTTTTTGTTAGTGGATTGTTTTTCGTTCAGTTGATTGATTTAGAAAACAAACAAACTGCTTCTATTGATAAAATGGTTCAAGTAGTTTGTTAATTCTTTGTCCGAATCAATTAATTCTAACAATTTGATTACTGCGGTGAGGTCATAAAAAGTAATCTTTACAATTTGAGGCTACTCAAAATTAAAAGACTTACTTAAAAGACTTAAGCATAAGCCTTCAAGTTTAATGGGAGCAAAGAAATCACAAGACAGAACCCATACATTGTAGTAAGAATAGAGGGATGACAGATTTGTTGTTAATTTTTTGGCAACTGTGAGATCACAATATTCCTTTACAATTTAGTGGCACGATGGGATAAAAGAATAATTATTACAATTTGTTGGTTGCATTCAAAAAGTAATGTTTGCTGTTTGTACTACCCAGGAACTTACTGAACATAACCTATGAGGTTTGGTGCAAGTGGTGCAATCTAAAGGCAGGACTCCTGCAACTTGGTAGGAACAATGGGATCACAAACAAAATTTTAGTTAATTAGAGGCTACAATGAGGGATCACAAAATGCAACCATCACAATTTAGAGCCAGTGGTAGGAGAAATGATTAATTCTTACAATTTGGTGTCTGCAATGAAGTCATAAAATGTAACCTTTACCATTTACAATAGTCATGTGAATTTGGTGGAAATAGTGGGACCAGTAAACATGAATTTTACAATTCAATGGATGTTGCGGTTCAATGGAAACAATGGTATCACAATATATTTTTCATTTTTGGTTAAGCAGCAGCAGTTAGATGACAAAATGTAACTTTTATGATTGAATTATGCCAAATACATTTTTTCTCTCAATAAAACGAAAACATTTTGTACCTGATGTGAAAAATTGATCAGTTATAAAAAATATGAAACACTATTTGAGATAATGATGGGATAGCTCTTTCATCAGAACATTTGTTTGTTTTTGTTTTTCATATAGCATAAGTATTATTAATAAACAATTAAATTTTATAAAATTTCATTTTATAATAGTAATCAAACTGGCTTCTAGTGTTTATCATCCCTAAAATGAAAACTTCTCGAGTAGGCAAATCTTGATTAAATTGTCAAAATTGAACTAATTTCTTCATAAATTCCATTTAGTTAGATATGGATTTGATGCGCATGCATTATTTGAATAAAAAATAATATAGTTAGGAAAACATGTTTTGAGAACTCTAAATCTAGGCTAAACTAAAACTACAGTTGATTAATACTGGGGTGGCATAATGTGGTTCGCTACAGACAAGCTTCATAACAGTAGTTTCTCAAACATACCAGCCAGTATGAATTCATACTCTTTAGTTGGCTGATAAAACTGAATACCGATATTCAGAATGAAGATCTTTATCAACCATGAACTCAGTGTCACATGTTTTATTATTCATTTGTCACCACAAAATTGTAGAGGTTACATTTGATGAGCGAACTGCTGTGAATAAAGGTTTGCATCAGCTTTCGAATCATCATACAGGATAAAGGAACTAGTGCCTGAGGTTTAATTTTTTTTTTAGAAATATGAGAATATAAATTCTAAACCATTACCTCAACTGATGAAAAGTAATAGTTAATTAATAAAAATACAAATCTGTTCATTCAACAAATTTTTGATAAGATTGAAAAAATATAGTAAAGTTTGAATTCTTGATGAGTATTTTAACATTGTGGTGTATGCACTCAAACCATCAAATAGATACTACCTATGAGTGAGATCTTCATCAAATCTAACCTCATACAATTTAGTTAGTGAGTTATACCATACACAGCAATGAGATAAAACAAACTCTTTTGAAATTTGGAGGCAGCAGTGTTATCACCAAAAGTAATCTCTACAATTTGTGACAGTGATGTCAGTAATGGTAAACTCAACAACTTAGTGTCAATTACATGATCACAAAACACCCCTACAATTTTTTGGTAGCAGTGCGATCATTATACATAACCTCAAAAACCATAGTGGTAGTTGCCGTAAACACAAAAGGAATCTCTACAACTTTTGGCAGCGATGTGAACAGAAATCATAAACCCACCATACACCACAGCTTATATTTTCTTTATTCACAGCAGTTCGCTAATCAAATGTAACCTCTACAATTTTATGGAGACAATTGAATAATAAAGCATAATGCTTACAATTAAATGGCAGCATAAACGTCACAAAACATGTTCAAAGGATTTTTTAAGTTGGTTGCTTCAGTAGAAAAAAATGCATCATTTTGATGTTACCATAACTTCTTTTTTTAATTTAATTTTAATTAATTCTATCAATAAAAATTATTAATTTCATGATAAATGGATTTGCTTACCTGATTTTAGAAACTGTTGTTCCTTTATGTACTAACGTTGTCAAATTTTTTTATTAATCCAGTTTTCTTGCGAATAAACTCATTGTAAAATTACTTCATTACATTCATTGGGTTGTTGTTATTAACTGGAAAAGAATGTCAGTTTTAACCAATAAAATTATATCATAAAAGAATCTTATTCTTAATCAACAAATGTTAGAAAATATAGTAACATAATATTAGTTGTAAATAAATGTATTTTACAGAATTAATCCAATTTACACAAAAATGTTTAAATATAGAAATATAACGATATAAAAGCAAAAATAAGAAAACAAAGGAAAAATTACTTAAATATCAAACAATATGTAAGGTAAGAAAATAGCTTAAAAGAATGTTCCATATAAATATACTTTATCATTGTCATTTTCAATTTTTAAATTGTCATTGTAATATAATATAACATATTTTCAAATATTAAATAAATAATATTAGAAAAGAAACATAGCAATTCAATATTTAACATGTTTGCACACTTGACTGTAGAATGAAGAAAAAGAAGAATTAAAAATTGTAAGAATTAGAAAGTTACTGGCTGAACGCATCATCCTTTCAATAGGAGTATTTTTACTATAGTTAGTAGATTGGTAGGAAATATGAAAAAGTCTATTATGCCTGGTCAAGTAGCTCAGTACAGAAAATTTAATTATTGGGTTGTCCGGAAAATAATGCAGGATTTTAAGTTTTCATTAAAAAAAATCTATATAAAATATTCTGTTTACGTTTACAGGNTTGACATTCATACAAATGAGTAATCCTGTAAACGTAAACAGAATATTTTATATAGATTTTTTTTAATGAAAACTTAAAATCCTGCATTATTTTCCGGACAACCCGATAATTGAAATTCTTGCTAAAATTCAAAGGGAAGGATGTAATACAACATATACCAATGGTACCAACAGAAGTGCCTTTCCAATTCAAACTATTACAATTTCCAATTAAAATGGCTTTTGTAGTAATGATAAACAAATCACAAAGTGATTTAATGATTTAACCCTGAGTACAACAGTAATTACAATTTACTACAATGTAATTCAAAACAAAAATACTATTCATATGTAAATATCTAATATCATGACTATAAATACAATCGTTGATATCTACCATTCAATTGTGTTCATTTTGTAAAAATATGTATATTCAAAATAATGTGTTAAATAATATTTTTTATTATCCCATCGGGAAACGTTGAGTTATAAAGTTAGTTTCAATGTATTGTATAATTTAGAAAAACTCTATGGTTGATAAAGAACACTTGATTTTGATATTGATCAATGGTTGTTTAAGTAACATATTTATCAACATTACATTAGTTAATGGTAATAATTTACCTGAGCATAGTGTGCAATAATGATGATGGTCCAGAAAATACTCATTGTAAAAGTTGATATTTATTATTTACTCATCGCTTCTATTATAAAATTAACCTTTTCAATCCAAACCAAAATTTGACCTAAAAAAGCAATAAAATGTTAATATTGCCTTAAAGAAATAAATGTTCATTGTATGACATGACACAGGCTAGGTCTGAGCAGAATAAAGTAGATAATTTAATTACAATATTTTTACTTACAATTAATTAAGGTTTTTGGTTGAGATAAAAAAGTCAATGGCGCGAGCGGGATTCGAACCCACGATCTTCGGCTATCGTGACCTCGATCCACTCGGACATCAACTTCCTTTCTCAACCCCACCTTTTGAATTTTCCCTCCTTTTTGCCATTTTTCAATAGCTTTCGATAGCTCAAGTGGTATAGAAGCGGCGTATCTAGCCGAAGATCGTGGGTTCGAATCCCGCTCGTGCCATTGACTTTTTTATCTCAACTAAAAACCTTAATTAATTGTAAGATATTAATTGGTCAAGCGGACCACGAAACTAGTGAATTTAATATTTTACTTACCTACTTTCACGGAAGCATTACTACGGCTCTTGCTCTCTAATGTTGCGACAGTCAGCAATCCTGAAAAAATTAAAACAGATGTCATTATTCAAGTTTAAAGTGTAAATAATGATGTAATATTTGATCAAAGTTCTATCCTAGTAGGGGGCTGAGAGAATGCAATTTCAGAACAGCTGTAAAGCAAAAGACTCCCTCTTTCTCTCTCACCTTCACTATCACTCTCACACAAGTTTGAAAAAAAACAGTCATTTGGTTAGCTATTTATTAATCACATTTCATGTTCGAACTGCCTGCTTTGCGTAAAGATGGAAAGATTTCCTTTTTTAACCCCACTTCACCGGTGCTCAGAGCGATAGAGTCAGGAGAGATGGATTGACAAGCATTTTCTTTCTTTTGACGCAGTTCTTCGACTGAGGCTGCTGGGTTATGATTGGCGTAGGCTCTTTTTTTTTAAATGGCTCCAAGGAAAATATCAAGTGGAGTTAAATCGGGTGGCCAAGGAGGCCAATAGATCGGGCCATGAGGTTCTATCGGCCTATCCCGAGAGTGATGATTCAAATTATGTGCCGGGCATCCATCAAGCTGGAGAATCATTCTTTGTCGTTGTTGTAGAGGAACATCATCTAATGGTTAACGGTTATATGGCTTTAATTTTTTTTTTTATTTCGTTGAAATAAGGCCCAATTGATTAATTTCCACAATCAACGTCGTTACTATGAACCACGCGATGATGTCAACAGTACGAAATTCTCGGATTTTCCTCTGCCCACGTTCGAAAATTACGACGGTTTAGTATGCCATTAGAGGTGAACTTGGATTCATCAGCGCTTAGGATGCATGGAATAACGTTTTCTTCTCCCCCCCCCCCGAAGTCACTGGACAAGATGTGCTGTTCGGCTTAAAATTGTAAGTCCAGAGTACATCTCGAATTTTATTTTTTGAAAAACCTAAAACCCTCTCAACATTTCGGAGAGAGGAATTCGGATTTTCGCGAACCTACAGTAAAATATGCAGCTTAGCAAATTATAGATTTAACAACGTAACACACGAAACGTTTTTTTACACATTTTTTTAAAAACATTTTTTGGCCAATTTAAAATCCGATTGCACCATTGTTTTCATCGTTAAATCCTTTAAAATACATGAAGTTTCAGGATGTATAGGGTCGTATTTGAAATGTTGAAGTTGAACTGGCCCGAGGTACCCTGTTATTAATTAATTAAATAATTTTTTTTACAAAAAAGGTAAAAATTTGAAACTACATTAAAAACATTAAACAGCTATTTTTTATAGCGTCATTGGTATATACCCAGTATATAAAAACAAGGTTCAGTATATCAATTTTAAAGCTCGTAAAATGTTTTTCAATCTTTTTGAAAACCGACAAGGAGTTAACTAAAGGGTCCGCGACATCTCCGTAGTTAATATCCGTCCCAAGAAAATAATTAAATTTTAGGTATCCTTTTTGTCCATAAAATCATATTTGGTGGGAAGATTACGTTATTCTATTAAATTAATTAAATCTGCATAACTAACGCCTCAGAACAGAATTTATTGGCTATTTCAGGAAAACATCCTTTGTTCAACTTAATCATCTTGAAAATATGTCTATTGGACTAGATTTATTAATATCAAGGCTATTCTATAAATTTTTCATTTTTGAATTTTAACTTCTGTAAGAACTCCATATTTTCATCCTTGGAGCCCTTTTGGATGGTAAAATCCTCCCTGACAGTTTTATAGTTTTTTCCTGGCCAAAGAATACAATTTGTTTGTCAAACGGCTCAGAAAGAGAAAACATTCTTAACTCTAACAAAGACATGATTAAGCGGGGAATCTAGTTTTTCCTATCACCACTACTTCCCATCACTTCTTGCAGATAGTAAACCACTCACCAGTCCAATAGGTATGTGCATTTTTTAAGCGTGAGATAGATAGATAGATAGATAGATAGATAGATAGATAGAGAGAGAGAGAGAGAGAGAGAGAGAGAGAAAGAGAGAGTGAGTGAGTGAGAGTGAGAGAGAGAATTGAATTGAAATTCTTCATTTATAATACACGCAGATTTAAGTCATATTGACCTTCCTTACAATCAACGAGTTCGTACAGTAAATAAATACAAAATAAACAAACGAAATAATTAGAGAACATAAATATTTTTAGCTTTGTAATCCACAATCTTCCTAAAATAGTCCTCATGTTTTTAACCTACCTATTCAATTCAGTCCTTAGAACGACCCATTATCCTATGCTCTGGAAATATTCAATAATGATCCCAAAACCCAATAAACATTCCCGCCTAACGAATTTATACAGACCTATTCCTTACTCTCATTTATATGTAAAGTCTTAGAGAAAATTCATTAAACGTATCTACTCCTCCTAAACTCCCAGAATTTCATACCAGACCATCAATTTGGCTTCTGTTCACATATTATCACCATTCAACAGGGACATCGAGTCGTATACTTCCAGCCTTGAAGATGGGGAGTTTCGTCCTGGTGTATTTCTTGACGTGGCGTTACCTTATCCTGAAATCTAATAAATAAAATCCTACCAGTCCGATAGATATTACCAAGCCAGCAAGGTGCAGATTTTTTCCTCTTTCTTCCTTGTCGGGGATGGAGAACTGCAAGGAAACATCCTAGATCATCCCATATATACAATATACGCTGCCGATATCCCTTTAAACCCGAGACATTCCTTCCTACATTTGCAGACGACAAACTTATCCTTTGGTGGTATCAAACCCCAGACATAGCTGCCTCCAACATCCAATCACATCTATCCGATATCCATCAACGGAACAAAAGATGGAGAATAAAAATTAATTAAAATAAATGCATCCACACACCTTTACCTTCCGCCGTGCGACATTTTCAACACTCTACTTTAACAACATACCTATACCGAATGCTGACATAGTTAAAGAGCATGTTTCTCGACAAAAGATTGACATGGAAAACTAAACTAAACTGAAATGAAAAGAACTTACTATATACTGTACGTATACTAGATAAACGAACAACTATCGGCCCATCTGGACCTGTGGAATAGAACTGTGGGGCTCAACCAAACGCGCCAATTTCAAAATAATTCAGTCACGGCAGTCAAAAATTTTCCTTAAAACCACGTATGGTCCTTATTAAGTCTCAAACCGACACTGCACACCGACCTTCAAATTCTTTTTGTCAAAGAACTCATAATTTCCTGTTACACGAAACTATAACTCGATACGTATACCTGGTAACCCACATGTCAACGAACATGCTCTCTACACAATCCCACCGGATCAACCGCCGTCTAAATCGTAAAGTAAAGGAACCTAACCTACTTAATAACAACTAGGTTAGGTCGTCATTGGGCGACTTACCTTTTCCAGCCTTCACGCCATTTTATTTTTTTAATATTATACACGTGTAATGTATGATTATATGTATATGATTTTTGTACTAATGTTAATCAACATAATATATATCTTATTATGTAAGGTTTTGGTTGAAATGAAAACCTTACATAAAAAGATTAATTAATTGAAAGAAGTAATTTGGCCAATCAGACCACTAAATATAATGGATTTAATAATATATATAATTTGTTTGTGGCATGCAGGTACAAATTTCGTACAAAAAATATTTAAAAAAATTAAATAAATAAAAACCAACTATAAATGAAATAGATTACCCGACATTTGAAAAATGCCAAAAAGGAGGGAAAATTCGAAAGGTTGGGTTGAAGTGGGAAGTTGGTGTCCGAGTGGATCAATGTCACGATAGCTCAAGTGGTAGAGCAGCGGCGTATTAGCAGACGGTCGTGGGTTCGAATCCCGCTCGTGACGCTGACTTTTTTATCTCAACCAATACCTTACATAAAGATTAATTAATTTATAAATGAAAATTTGACACAACAAATGGATTCGAGTTTTTGCCAGAACAGCGACGGTTATCATAAGCAAATTTACAAATAAATAAATTCTATACATACTATGTAAATACAGTATGTATATGGGACAAAGAGTGGGAGTGAGTCTGAGACTGGAAGAGGGGAAGTTAAGCGTTTTTTTAAATCGTGATTTTAAGACGTTATTTTCTAAAGGGAAATTCTTTATCAAAGCACTTTTGTCAAGTGTAGAGTGGCACGTAGTGTTCTAAAACCAGAAGAGCCCCCGGGCATGATCAATAGTTCACACCCTTTACTCAAGCATTCGCCGAGACAAACCCCCCGTCAACAGTCTCACTAACCCAAATCTTAAAAACGGTTCATCCTTTTGTCGCCATACGAAGGCACAATTCGGTTTATTTTGCTCATGGTAATTTTTTTAAAATTTAATTGCATTTTTATTATCTCTTCTGGCAGACGTGAGTCAACATCCTCTGATTAAAGTATTAGACGTATCGACCTACTCACGAATAATCTAATTTTCGGTATGGACTTGATGAAAAAACAATTCAATTGTTACTGCCAAGCTTTCGACCGATTTTCATCATCAGGGCAAAACAATTTTTAATATGCCTACAAATTGGCATAATTAAGTTTTTAATAGATGGTTTCAAACGCCTTTGAAGACCGACTCAGTCCTAATAGTGTAGTACGATTGTTTTACGGCTGATGATCTTAAAATAAGTTGAAAGCTTGGCAGTAACAATTGAATCGTTTTGTCATTAAGACCATATCGAGATCCAGATTATTCGTGAACATTCCCTTGTGAGGTTTCCCTCTTGAATTACTTTAAGGATCAGGCTTTTATCCTTTATGAAAGAATAATTAATCCAAGTGTAAACAAGTCAGGATTTCTATTGGAAAAATAAACAATAATGGCCCCCAAAAAATAAATTCATGTTTATTTTAAACTTATTTGTCAATTAAAATTATACATTTTTAGTTAGGATATTTTAGTTGGCTTAACGATCCACTCATTTCACCGTATTATTTGGGAGGAATAGTGAAAAATTGATCCATTTTGTGGCGTGCTGTGGGGCAACGTAATTACCTGCATGTAATAATTCAATTAAAGAATAATCTAAGTTTACGCTAAAAAGTTTAAAACGAGTTTTCTTTTGGGAATATGCCAATACTTTTTTATAATTCTCGTTTCTAAGTGAAAGTTGATCTACATTTATGTGAGCTATAAGAAATTAAAGTTATTAAATATTATTAATTATTAAAGAAATGAAATAACAATATTAAAACACAATAATTGTCAATTAGTTCTTGCATTTTATTTGTTAAACATTAATAAATATTTTTCAATTAATTAATATTTATGAAAGGTATTGGTCGAGATAAAAAAGTCAATGTCACGAGCGGGATTATGTAGTGCAGCCGAAGGTCGTGGGTTCGAATCCCGCTCGTGACACTGGCTTTTTTATCTCAACCAATACCTATCATAAATATTGATTAATTGAAAAATGTTAATTGCTTAATCGGGCCACGGACTGTAATGGATTAATAAATATGTAACCGTTTCTCTCTTCTCTTTGTATTTGTATTTGTTTTTGTTTCTCTCTCTCTCTCTCTCTCTCTCTCTCTCTCTCTCTCTCTCTCTCTCTCTCTCTCTCTCTCACTCTCTCTCTCTCTCTCTCTCTCTTTAATTCAAGAGGTTTTACCGAAATATATGAGAACTTTTGTTTTTTTCGCTTATATCTCTGTTCTGTCAGATTGCTAGTTCTAGCTGATTAGTTTAAATCACTACGTCTTAAACACAATTACTATAACAAAACGAATTATTACAATTTTATTATTACACAAAAGTTTTTTACACTACTACACAATGATTTGTTTACTTTTTGGTATTTAACATCACAAAAATGAAACAGGTTAAAATTATACACAAATTTCTTCAAATCTTTAATTTAATGTAAGTAAGTATTATAAAAAATTAAACATGTTTTCTCTAACATTTGTTCAAGAATGTAACTTTTTAATTATTTATTAGCGTAGATAGTGATTATTAAATTATTTTTGAAACACGATATCGTTTAGAAATTATGGTTAGTTTACTTTTGCAAATAAATGCGTTGTACTAAGTCGATCTTCTACAGTTTGGCATTTGTTCAGGTAATCATTCCTTGTCTGATATGTTTTACTGTTAATATGCTTCAATGTTCTGTATTTTCCAAATAAATTCATTGGTCTTATATTTTGTATTATTTTAAGCAACGTTGCGACATTATTAATATTTTCTACCGCTTTTATTTTGAATATTTTTAATTTTATTAATTTTTTTCTAATGTAATAATCTTTTTTAAACACAGAATGTATCTTATCTTCTCTTTCTTATCTTGTATCAGATTCTTTGAAGTTTCATGGTAGAGAGAGAGAGAGAGAGAGAGAGAGAGAGAGAGAGAGAGAGAGAGAGAGAGAGATGAATGTGATAACCAAAGTTTTGCAATTTCAATATTCTGACCGAGATGAAAAAATCGTTTGTAGGAAAATGCCAAAATAAAATTTATTTGATTGTATATAAAATATGCTAACAGGAAATACACCAATCTCCTCAATTATTTTTCTGTATGAGTAAACTATAGTTGTATAGTTTACTACACTATAGTCAATAACTTTATATTTTAAAAATGAGGAAACATGATAGGCACTCACATTTGTCGAGGTTTAACAAAAATATAATCAAGATTTTTAAAAAATTATGTAGATAATTGAAATTGACTACGGTAATTCTATTGGTTCTGAAATACCTTTGTAACATGCAATGCAGAAGAGGATTTACCCATTATTGAAATAATAAAATAGTAACAGTAAAACACGGAAGACCCTAGAAATGGAAAAACCATGTAAATAGTGAGAAAATAGTCTATAACAGAGTGCCCTAAAATATATTTATTTTACAAATCATCCCCCTAATTTGGTGAGTTTCAATAAAAATTATATTAGTAATTTACTATCACCTTTACATTAATTTTTGTCTCTTGATTCTGCCACTAAGTTCTAGTTCATGAATTGGTCTCCATTTGTTATTTTTGTTAGTTACGTTTTAACGGAAATCCGATAATTTGTTGTAGATAAGTTTTTATTAAGTAAAACTTGTGAAATTGGACCGATCAAGATGGAGTTGTATAAATGAAAAAAATAAAAACACACTAGAACTATCATTTCTGGCATATGGTTTATTTCGGCTTATAATTTAATTAGACCAAGTTGAAATGCAAGTTTTAACGTTTCATTTATGAAATTTCAGTAGAAAGTTCAAAATAAGCAAATAATGTGATAATATTATGACAGTTTGCTTTTGCGAAGGGATACCATCTAGCGTGACGTGCGTGAATGGCGGGGTTGCATCTCAAGGCCTCGCGGGGCGCAACCTTCGCCGGCGATCAATCCACGAAACCTGAATTAAGGTTACAGAATTCAAATTTGCCACTCAGGTGCTCCGGTGGCAATTAACGGCGGTGGACGTGACTCCCCAGGTGTAAACAAACCAGAATAGCATCCCGTACCGCGCGGATTTTGAGATTTTCCCGGCAAGGGGCTCGTCCAGTAGGAAATTACTGGAGTGGAACCGCGTACTGGCTGCCTGGGAAAATCAAGTCATCCTTATGAAATCTGCTAATAAAAACAACAAGGTTCACCAACACACATTATTATTATAGATAACCATTTCTGCCGTTTCCCAATAACATATTTACGACTGAAATTCAAATTTATTTATTTATTATACAGAATCACTATTAAATCAATCTTTTCCAGAAGATATTTTGTAAATTATTCTGATTGACTGAGAAGTTTTAAAATAGAATGAACGATTTAAAAACGCATTTGGCGGGTTTTTTAAGTAGTGGGAGACAGAAGGCAAATCGTTACGGCTGGGATGCACCCCTCGTCTTCCAAATATGCAAATCAGTTTCACCAATGTTATGTCGGGAGATGACGCAATTTTATCCACGTCTGAAAAGCTTTTCAACACTTTTTCACCCCTTTACTCTACCTTCTACACGTGGAGTGAATTAAAAGCGTGTTTTGAACACAGAAATCCTGACAGTAAAATTTACAAAACTCCCGGGCCGAATTTTTCAAATTTTCGACAAGCTCGAGGTTCGGTTTTAGAACGACCCAGCTGTTCTTGTTAAAATGGAATTTCCACTTCACATCCCCTGGACTCAGGAACACCACAAATTAAAAACGTTGTGCAGAGTTGAATTTACATACCTTGATCGTCTGGTCGCCAGCAGCGAATCCCTGGAGTGTTTTGTGAGCAAGTATCGAACGAGTGGGCAAAGCGAGACGAGTGCGCTCTTCTCGCCCCCAGCGAAAGCTTGCCGCCCCCACGGAGACGGCGTAAGATTTAACCGCCAGTTTCGAATGACTAGTTTATACACAAATATTTTAATAGGTTTTATATTTTATTATATTCAATTAGAAGACCCCCTTTCCGATTTAAGCCATGTATTTTACTAATCTACAACTATCTACTACAAAATGGTTTTGATATTTTCTCTTGAGTTTTGCGTAGTTATCAAAACGTAGTGTTTCCAATTAAATTGGCCGGCCAAACCAAGCTGGTTTTGTCTGTCGGACGCTTTTCGCAGTTCTGTTGTGAATTTTTTCTTGTCTCACCCTGTTTACATCCCTGTGGATCACTGAAAATGTGGAGAGTCCTGCCACTGATAGTTCTTACTCAAATGAGCATCCTAAAATATGTCAACGGTTTTGATAGATTAAAAGTAATATAATTGTTATTCTGTGAGTTTTGAAATAAATAGGGCACAGATAGAATCTCCCGCTTGGGTTTAAATTGGATTTTGTACAAACGACTTTAAATAGCAAATCTATTCTTTGTTTATTTTGGTACTCAAATCCGTTCTTACACTCCAGGAATTGTCTTTGATGATGGTTTTGAGACACAAATGTTTTTATTGATGGTATTCTGCCGCAGATTCGGCTATAATTGCTGAAGTGAAATAAGATGGAAGGAGTCAAGCATATATGGCCAAACAACCGAAGGTTTATCCAGTATTATCAACAGATATCTCGGTTGTTATTGTCCTTAATACACTCCGTAATCGAATTATAAAGGCGTTGATTCAAGAAAAAACTTTGTCGGTATAAGGTGAAGGCTTATTGAAGCTGCCTAACGCACGAGAATTCCTGCCGATGGCCTAGAACTGTAGACAAGCAAAACAGTTCGGTTAAATTTCGCACAAAATCACATTAGTTGTCTGAGCAAGACTAGACTAATATCTCGTTTCCCTACGTGTCTCCGCTTTGTCTGAGACCATCTGATGAGAAATATAGTGTTTTCAGAAATACAGGGTGGTTATGGTGTAGTGGGTATTAGTCAGAAAACTCTATAGACAGTCACCCTGACGCACAGTGCGGCCAAAAACTGGAAAAATTAAAAAAATTCTCTAAAATACCTCAGCAATACCAGTTACTAATTTTAGTTCCAATTCTGATGTAAGTTTGTCTTCTGACGGGAATGAAACGATTTTTGAGCCACATGGACCAACTAGGTGCAGACAGTTTATTCTACTTTATTGCCATAAAACGTTAGGTTTATCACTAATTTTTAAATTAATGAGGTTTTTAATGTATTTTTGCTTCTTAATCGAACTATTTTTGTATCACTAACAATAAATATAGTTAGCAGTTGCTTTTTACTTTCATCTTGCTACCTCATTGTAAAACAGATTGAGTTAATGTGTTGACTTACGTTCAAAGGTGAATCCTGTTTAAAATAAATAAGTCGTCGGTTGCGAAATCTAGCTTAAAAAGTCTTCCCCTTACACTTAGATCAAGTTAATGCTATCAAATAGATAATAATACTAAGTTTTGCTGAAAAGCTGAAGTTAACTTCAAATCCTTTGCTGCCAAAAAGGAAATTCCAAATGATGTTTTTACAAATCCTTGACAACCTGAAGCTTTTATTAAATTTTATTTTTCACGTTATTTGAAAAAGGAATGAACTGATGTTATACTATAAACTAATCTAGAAGTCCTTAAAATAAATAATGATGTAATATTGCGCTGTTTTTGATTTTTATCATTTGTTATATTTTTTTAATTTCAAATATGGATGTTTAACATAAAACCCTAACGAGGAGTGCAATGACAAGTATTGATCGTCTGGTTTTAAAATTTAGAAACTTAAATCAAGAAACTAGATCAAAACATATTACATAAAAGATAAGTTAAAATATTTTAATAATTATTTAACTTACTTAGGGTCTGTAGGGTTTTAGGGTCGTGTGACTTTTTGAGACAAGTTCAGGTTGACCGTTCATATTATTGGCGGGAAACCAAAGGGGGCCGAAGCAATGCACGTCCGCACGGAGAGATCGCAGCACTCAATAACATTTCGTTTCTGTTGTTCTGTTTTATGTTAAATCAATCATAACAAAGCCTAATTGTTAACCAAAGTTGCACCATCACCACCACCACAAATGTTTAACTAATCCCATAGGTAGACTCTACACAGATTCAATTAAATTTCAGTCGTTTGACCCACCTGAAACGAATATATGCTGGAGCGAGGTCTTTTGTTTATTTGACGGGACAACTTCTTTAAAAATAACTATAAAAACAATACCTTATCATTTGATTGACGTTTATGAAAATGTAAAATCGACGTAATAAGTAATACTCGCAAAAATATTATATCCCACATCCACAAGAAAAGTGTCACAACACAACAAAAGAAAATTTCACAGGAGAAACAAGTGGATGTTTACTATTTTAGACTTAAGTATTAACTACACGCCATTACGGTTGTTGCCAATAAAAACTGTCGTGATCCATCAATACTGTCTTTCGTTTCTCTAAGTCTTAGCGAAAACCCAAAACTTTACAAATCCAGCTGTACTACCCCTAAAAAGCAACCCCTTTTTGAGTTTTTGAGCACTTTTCTTTCATATATTGTCTCTCAGTAATTTAAGTTAGTTTGTTTGCTTTATCGATAATGGTGGTCAATGAATGACTGTAAGTGTATGAATTTTTTATGACAGTAACAGACAAATAAAAGCCTAACAAACAAGCATAAATATCCATGTAGTATATTTTACTAAGATTAGTTGTGATTCAAATGGGCTTTCCTCCTGGAGTCAGACCTAATTACAATTCAAAAGTAATTATTGAAATAAAGGTTTTATTGATGATTAAAAATAATGCAATTAAAACATTTAAAAAATGTTGAAACTATAAAATAATGTAAAAGTTAAAAGACAACATTGTTAAAAATTATGAAAAACAATATTATGTTATGAATATTATAAAAGTAAAACAAATGAATCTAAAATAATACACGAACACTAGATCAAGGTATGTTCTTGAACAATAATAATTGTTACTGCCAAGCTTTCGGCCTATTTTAAGGTCATCATCAGAGCCTATATTAATTTCACATTACGAAAAGCATCTTTGTATTAGTGATTTAACACTTGTTTTTCATGGGAAAGTGAGACTCCGGTGCAGCATAAAATCCTTCATTAATCAAGAAAAAACTGACGTAACTCGAAGTTTTTCTGATTTCTAACTTTTTCTGATAAATACACCGATGCTTTAAAGAACTAAGAAAGGGGCGTCGGTGGCCGCAACGGTTTAGGCGTTGACACGGCGCTCATCATTGTAAGGTAAAGGTCCCGGATTCGAATCCAGCGGCCCTGCATTCGATCGAACCTGACATACACATGGGCATTTTTTCAAAAACACCGGCACCCTGAGGGTTTATATGACCTCTGCTGTTGTAACTCCTCGTAAAAAAATTTAATAAATAAAGAACTAAGATATGCCATGAATGGTGTAGTACGTTCCCGCTATTTCAGCCGTTCATAGCCAAAACCTAGCAGCTATGAGTCCACCTACAGCTGTCATTTTACCTGTAGCATCACACACCCGACTACTTGAACAAAATTAAATAATCCGGTTTTTGTAATTTTTAGACTTGTGTCACTTTTCTTGTGGGTGTGTGATATCTCCACATTTAAAACTTGCAAATCTATAATTATAAGTCACTGAAGATGCTAATAGCCGAATTTCTCTATTTAAATATTTGTTTGTTGGGGTAAAAATTAGTTAAATATTACAACAGATTGGAGAGTTGAGCTTTCTTTTTAACTGTTGTTAATCATTTTATCTCAGTCTTTGCAACAGCATATAATATTTGAACACAAAAAAGTATTTTTTAAATTATTTGTCACAACGTTTCGAATCGTGTAAGATTCCTTTTTAAGTTAAACTCTGTTTAAACGTTGAAAATGAAAATGCTGATATACATCAGACAGAAAACCAACCCAACACCTCCAGTGTGAACTGTGACAATGATCAACCAACAAATACAAAAAATATATAACTGATTTTCAAATATGAAGGTTGTTGGTGAAATAGGTTTTTAATAAAATAATTTATATTGGTAATTTTAAAGTAAAGGCAGTGATACTATTTACATGATGTATAAATGGACTGAGAAGTACAGATGGTGTTATAGATGTAATGTTAACAGACATATAAGGATGGTGATAAGCTCATAGATTGGGGTATATTAAAATAAACTCCATCACGTTTTACTGAAAAAGATTTAGAGGTACGCTTTATAACGTGCTTAGTATTCTTTTTTAAAATCTAAAATTATAAAGTAATAAAAGGACATATTACAGGTAGAATTAGTAGTTTATGTATATCCATTAATTATTTATTTTACATCTGTAATTTATTATTAATTAATTTAATATGCTTACCGTGTAAACAGTATAAATATATCTGAAAAACCAGGTATATTCTAGTTGTCTAGGAAGTCTTAGTGTTAATTTTAAGTTTTATAACTAGTACGTGTTCGGTTCTAATTCTTACTGTTAATAAAGTGTAATGTATCGTGTGTAATTTACAGGAAAGAGTGAGAGATATTGATAGATAGACAGAGATAAACAGTACGTCAGATTCGAATGCATGTGCGCTGGATTCGAACCCATGACCCTACCTTGCGATGAGCGCCGTGTCAACGCCTAAACGATTGTGGCCACCGATACCCCATAGAAAAAAATTAGACAGATGAAAAACAGAAAGTCAGACAGATGGATAGACGTACACACAGAAAGTCCGACAGATAGGTAAGTAGATAGAGAGAGAGAAAGAGAGAGAGAGAGAGAGAGAGAGAGGAGAGAGAGAGAGTAAGAGAAAGAGAGAGAGAGAGAGTGAGAGGGAGTGAGAGAGGGAGAGAGGGAGAGGGAGAGAGAGACTGGCAGTCAGACAAAGACGAACAG